TGAAAGACTTATTAAAGTTCGACTTATGCCCTTTCTCCTTAAATATAATATTTTTATCGCAAAATCAGTTCGGCTTTTTGTCTAATAAATGCACTAGTGATGCCATATTTTCTGTGTTACATGATGTATATCTATCACTAAACAGTAACCTCTCCTCCGCCACCGTTTTCTGCGATTATTCCAAAGCCTTTGACTGCGTAAATCACGACATTCTATTAAAAAAATTAACTTTCTATGGAATTCGGGGTGTGTCTTTGAACTGGTTCAAAACTTACATGGTAGGTAGGAAACAATTGGTTAGAATAAATGACACCGACTCTAGTTGTAAAGATATTGAGTGTGGAGTACCGCAAGGTTCAGTATTAGGTCCCATTCTTTTTTTACTTTTCATTAATGACATCACTTACTTGAAAATTAAAGGGAAAATTTTTCTATTTGCTGATGATACCAGTATTACTTGGAGCAGCTCTGATATTTCAACGCTTCATTCAATTATAATCGCTGATTTACTTATAATCAAGGCTTGGTCAGACTCCAACTTACTTAGCTTTAACGTGGATAAGACTGTAGCATTATCTTATAAAGGAGTCATGAAACCCTTGCTTTTGAATGAGAGTCAAATCAATATCGTAAATTCCGTGAAATTTCTGGGTATTCTCATTGACAGTGATCTCAAATGGTCCTTGCGGCCCAATTTGATACTATTTTTAAGTTGCAAAAAAGAGCAATCCGTTATCTATTTGGTCTCAAACAAACCATCATTGCAAGACCTACTTCAAAATCACGGAATTTTGACGCGTCCCTCTTTATTTATTTTGGAAACGGTTTGTTGATTCGAAAGCATCTAACATTTTTCCCGATAGACCTGACATGGCTACTCCATTAGAAAATTCGGATTGTAACGTTTATTTGCCGATCCCGTCCACTCAGCTAGTAAAGAATTCTATTCTATATCGTGCAAAGAAACTTTATAATCACCTTACAAGAGAAATTAAATCCGCAACATCCTTCATTAAGTTTCGTAAGGTGACAAAAATCTATCTCTCAGAAAGACCACATTATTCAGTTGACGAGTTTCTTAATGTATAACAAAGAAACAAAATTAGTATTGTTTTATAATTACATTTGGGTGTCTCAAGCAGTGGCTACAATTTGTCTCATTTGTTGTTGTCTGTACAAATTATGTAGGTTATACAATAATTTTACTAATTTAAAATTGTGTTATTCTGATTTTTACTATATTTGTTTTTGTTTTATACTTTTTGTACTATTTGACTGATTTATTTTTTAGCTTTGTCCATAAAATTGTTCAATAATTTTCAGTGACAATAAAGCATATTTCTATTCTATTCTATTCTATTCTATATTTTCTGCGGATCAATGGTCCAATGGAATTCTTAAATTCATAGTGCGTACCATCAAATTTTTTATTGCAGTAAATGAACTTACAAATTAAGCAGTTTACAAAGTTACGATTGGATCTTCGGGATTCCTGAATACTTCACGATCAATATTTGTGAATTTAATGCAATACATTTAAAATGCTTCGAGTATTCTTGGTCATTTTATATCTACCGTTTCGAACGTTTCTTCATGCCAGCTTTCCGAATTTCTCTTTCATATCTTTAAATTTTTAGGCGAGGATTAGGATTTTAAGGGAATCAAGTTCTCCAATAGGCACAGATTACGGACGCACTCTTCTACATCTTAACTACTAGTTCTATTTAAGATAGTGGATTATGAAATATATTAGTCATTCATCTTTGAATCATCTTCATTCATCATTCATAATCCTTTCTTCTCATATTTTGTTGAATACAAATTTGTCTACACTATAATTATTAATAATAACATTATTTCTTCAGTATCCAGCGTGGAATAATTTGCTATCCTTATTACTTATTTTATTTAAAGTCGACCGTTCTCTATTTTTATAAATACTTCAACGTTTTCATTACGAGCATTGATTTATCCTGGATCATCTGGTTGTTGGTTTAACGTCCCATCTGTCGGCTACATATACTATCATCATCACGTAGCTCTTCAACCCTGGGTGGGTGTTAGCTAACTGTACAACTTTTTTTCCAATTTGTTCGGTCTTCTATCAAGCTACGGTCATAGAGACTATGCTTACGGTCAAACGAAATGTTCATTTTCCGGAGATCTGATTGGATGTCATCTCTCCATCGCATTCTGGGACGTCCCACTGCTCTTTTGCCTGTGGGAATCTCCTCCCATACCAGTTTTACAAGTCTCTCGTTATGCAGTCTGTGCACGTGGCCTGCCCATCTTAGTCGCTGTGATTTAATTTCTTACTGGTTTGTGGTGATGTCACAAGGATTTTGAAAACACCATGGACCCAACGAGTTACAAATGCAGAAGTATTAAGAAGGCTACAAAAGGATTGCGAGGTCATAAAGCACATCAAAACAAGAAAGCTGGAATATTTAGGCCTTATTACCAGAGGTGCGAAATATGAGATATTAAGGCTCATAATGCAAGGTAAAATCAAGGGTAAAAGATCCATAGGAAGACGAAGAATTTCCTGACTGAGAAACTTAAGAGAGTGGTATAGTTGCAGCTCAGTAGATCTTTTTAGAGCAGCCGCCAATAAGGTACGGATAGCTGTGATGATAGCCAACCTCCGATAGGAGAAGGAACTACAAGAAGAAGAAGGTGATGTCATGGTAGGTCCGAAAATTGTTGTATTTTTCGTTCAAAGCATCTGAGCTTCTCTTGGTCATGGTCCACATTTCGCATCCGTATGTTATTACGGTATTAGAAATAAGAGCAGCCATAATATCACTAAAAGAAGGTAGAGCTCCAGGACCAGACGGAGTACAATCTGAATTTCTTAAACTTCTTGATGATGAATCTTTAAGAGTACTATGTAAAATCTTCAATAATATCTATGACACAGGCAATATCCCAAAAGATTGGCTACTTTCAGAATTTATTACCTTACCAAAGAAACAGGGAGCAAAAAAGTGCGGAGAATATAGGCTAATAAGTCTAATGAGCCATACATTAAAACTTTTTCTTAAAATTTACATCGTAGAATATACAAGCTATGCGAAGAGAGAATACAAGACACACAGTTTGGATTCATGAAAGGCGTAGGTACAAGAGATGCACTGTTTAGTCTACAAGTATTATTTCAAAGATGCAGAGATATGACTTGCGATATTTACACCTGCTTTGTGGACTACCAAAAAGCATTTGATACAGTTCAACACCAAAAAATGATGGATATTCTAACAAAAGCCCAAATGGATGATAAAGATCGGCGTATAATACAAAATTTATACTGGAACCAATCAGCCACAATAAGAACGAATTTTGGAGGTGAACCAACGGAAATGATCCAGATTCTACGAGGCGTTAGACAAGGTTGTATACTTTCACCTATATTATTTAATCTATATTCAGAGGAAATATTTAGTGAAGCCTTGGAAAAATGCGAACATGGAATACTTCTAAATGGAGAACGCCTAAACAACATCCGTTATGCAGACGACACCGTTATTTTTGCAGACAGTTTGAACAGTTTACAGCAACTAATAAACAAAGTAAATGAAGTAAGTGAAAGATTTGGACTTCAAGTAAATATAACAAAAACTAAATTTATGATCATCAGCAAAAATAAAGTTAGAGACGCTCAACTACTTATCAATAATACACCAGTGGACCGAGTAAAACAGTATAACTATCTTGGAACAACAGTAAATGAACAATGGGATCACTCACAGGAAATAAAATGTAGAATAGAGAAGGCTAGGAGTGCATTTAATAAAATGGCCAAACTCTTTAAAAGCCACAATCTTAATCTGGAGATAAAAGTAAGGCTCCTACGATGTTATATCTTCTCAATATTGTATTACGGAGTTGAATCCTGGACACTAACTGAAGCAATGGAGAAAAAACTTGAAGCCTTCGAGATGTGGCTATACAGGCGAATTCTAAGGATATCATGGACAGACAAGATAACCAACGAGACCGTATTACGAAGAGTGGGCAAAGAAAGAGAGGTGATGTATACCATTAAAAGGAGAAAGTTGGAATATCTCGGACATATAATGAGAAACAGCAGCGTAGGAATTGGGAGAAGGAGAATATCATGGTTGAAGAACCTGAGGAAATGGTTCTCCACAACAACAACGAATTTATTTAAAGCAGCAGTAAATAAAATAATTATAGCCAGAATGATTGCCAATATTCGGAACGAATAGGCACTGAAAGAAGAAGAAGAATGTTATTACAAGTCTGACGATGGATTTATAGATTTTGATCGTTGAACTTCTTGTGAGATTTTTTGATTTTATGAGCTTATCCATTGCGAATAGACAGCGGTTTGCAGATTGGATTTTGTCTTTTATTTCTTCAGTAACATCGATGTCAGCTGTGATTACGACCCCCAGATACTTAGAACGTTGTACTTTTTTCGAAATTTAAGGTGTTGACCGTCACATTTTGTCCTATTCTGCTGGTATCTCGTCCGTAACCGGGGCTTTGTGATTTTTCAGCTTTTTTAAGGCCTTTTGTGTTTCTTCAAAGGAGGGATTTTGGACGGGCATGTCCGCTGTGATATAGATCTTTTCTGTATGCTGTTTTTCCTGTATGATGTTTAGAAGGTCCCTAAAATACCTTTTCCATTCTTCAGGTACTTCTTTACCGTCGATTATCATTCGGATTTGATTGTCTCTCAGTGTATGGATGGAATTGGTTCTATGTCCTCTTTTCTCAGAGGAAAATGCTTTATAGAAATCTCTGGAGCCTGGTTTGGGCCGGTCTCTCTCCATAGCTTCATTTACTTTGGTTTGTTTGCAGTTGTATCCAAGTCTTCCTTATTGTTTGTCTTTTTTCCAGCTGCTTCCGACATTGGCTGCATATGGCTACATATACTAGGCTACATATAAATGATTATAAAGGTTATTTTTTCTCAAAACCAACGTCCCTTCTGTCAATTAGGTATTCGAATTTACTATAACAAATACATATTTACTAAAAATATATTTTTATACAAACAATTGTAAAAAATAAATCAAACAAATAAAAAATACCGGGATCGAGAACCCAACTAAACTAAACATACTCTTTGGCATCTATATAATAGTAATAGAAAATATATGTGATATTATAGAGTAAAATGTACTTTTTTCGGACTTTTTGTACGTCAAGACCTCGGTCTGGGTACGTTTTCTACAAACTGTCCAATGTAATTTCCTCTTGGAGAATAGTTGGCCACGACGTATGTCTGCCCTCTTTTGTTCTTTGCCATACCTATAACAAAAATATCATTTGTATTAAATATTACCATAAAAGAAAACACAATATAGCTTTTAAAGACATTATTATTATTTGTCAGCCTCTTGTATCCACAATTGGACATATGTGCCCAATATCCTATTCTGATTACGCTTTCTGCATCCAATTTCCATCTTTACCCTTAATTTACAGTACATAGTTTTAGTCAATGTTAATGTTTCAGTACCATATGTTAATGTTCTGAACCGTATATAAATTTCTTTATTTAATCAATCGTTCCGTTCCTTTCATAATATATCGCATCTTACCAATTGCTGCCCACTCCAAACCTATACGACCCTGAATCTCACAGGTTTGATGGTACTTTGCGATACTAATTTCATGTCCCAAGTAAATGTAGCTAAAAACCTGATGTAGGTACTTTGTTGCCATCTTTTCTCATAACATCATTTAAAACTAAATTGGTCATGCATTAGGTTTTTTTTTGGAAAGTTTATGTTAAGGACGACTTGTTCTATTGCCTGTTATAGTATTTTGTTATTGCATATACATTTTATTGACTTGGCGTGTCTTAATCTACTGGACTTTCTTCTAATACTTTTAGTATGCAATTACACGGTATCAAAAGCTTTCTTGAAATCAACAAATAATAACATGAGTGGTTTATTATACTATATTCGCTATTCTATCAATGTTTTTAGTGCTTGTATGTGGTCGTAAGGCCGACAAAAAACAGTACTATCAAAGTATATGCAAAGAAATTGAGAGACATGGTCAGAATAATCAGCCGAGAGATCTATTTAGAAAAATACGCTACCTGACAAAGACTTCAGAGCCAGAACTTGGGCCATTGAAGATAACACTGAAACCCTGAGAACAAACAGAGAAGACATAGCAGAGACATGGAGATCGTATTGCAGGGACCTATATAAAGATGATCAACGCCAAGAGCTTGTTAGCCAAATCTCTGACGAGGTGGAAGAAGAACCTGATATACTCGAAAATGAAGTACGACAGGCTATCAACAAGCTCAAATAAAACAAAGCCCCAGGTCCAGATATGATAACAGCAGAAATGCTTAAAGCCACAGAAGAAACCGGCGTAAAGTTACTTCATCTACTCTGTAACCAAATATGGCATTCCAAACAATGGCCTGAAGACTGGACAAAATCTACAATAACGACCATACATAAAAAAGGCAGCTTCCATAAATGCGACAATTATAGAACTATCTCTCTTATGCCAGCAAGATAATGCTACATATAATCAATAAGAGACTGAAAACATTCCTTCAAAGAGAAATTCCACAAGAGCAAACTGGATTTACCAAAGGTAGAGGCACTCGAGAACACCTGCTGAATATAAGACAGATAATCGAGAAATCTAGGGAATTCAACATCCACTATACATCTGTTTTATAGATTACCGTAAAGCGTTCGACAGGGTCAAGTGGAGACACTTATGGCGAATACTAAAAGAAGTAGGCGTACCACAACATCTAATTACGCTTATAACCGAACTATATGAACACACTACTGGATCAGTTAAAGTACTTGACACACTTTCGAACGAATTTCATCCAGAACGGGGTGTCAGACAAGGATGTATACTATCTCCACAATTATTCAACATATATGGGGAGTATATTATGCGAAGAGCACTTGAAGGATGGGAAAAGGGCATCTCAATAAATGGTCATAAACTAAACAACCTACGTTTCGCAGATGACACAGCCCTTCTTGCAAATAGTCAAGCAGAGCTGATAGAACTTATACGACTGATCGAAAACGAAAGTCAAATATTTGGTCTGCAATTAAACATATCAAAGACAAAGATCATGATAGTGGATAGACTACACAACAATCATCCACACATAACCACAATTGACCGGTTCGAGGTTGTGAGCTCATACTTATATCTGGGATCATTACTCACAAACACAGGGTCATTACAAGAAGAGATTAAACGTAGATGTGATCTAGCAAAAGTTGCCACAGCAAAAATGACCAAAATATGGAAGGACTGTCAAATTTCAAGAGCGATAAAGATGAGGTTGATCAACTGCTTAATATTCCCAATACTGACCTACGGATGTGAATCTTGGACTCTGAGACAATCGAAGAGAAGAAAGATAGACGCCACTGAAATGTTCTGTTGGAGACGAATGTTACGAATTCCTTGGACCGACCGTATAGAACAAATAATTCAATTTTAAGAGAGCTAAAAGTTAGCCAACGACTCTCTAGTAAAGTCCATCTCCAACAATTAAAATATTTTGGGCATGTTATGAGAGCAAACACAGAAAACATGGAAAGACTCATAATACAAGGAAAGGTAGAAGGCCGAAGATCACGAGGAAGATCCCCAACAAGATGGATAGATCAAATTACAGGAATATGCCAAAGACCTATGCATGAATTAAAAGAAATGACCAGAGACAGAGATCTCTGGAGACGGACAATACACGACATCACGTCGACCACTACACTCCCCTGGGGGGTCAGGATTGAAGAGAGAGATGTGGTCATTTGTTCCATAGCCTCTCCTAAACCAGCTTGATCCTTAAGCTGATACAAATCTTAGAAATTTTAAAGATATACAACTTACCTATTCCTAACTCCTTACTATCCTTCCATATGACTTGAGTAAAGTGTAAAGATCCCTGGTTAACTTTCTCGACTCCAAAGGTGTGGCGTTTGACTTCATCGTACCATTCCTTTACTGCGTCTCTGGCACTTGGTGTGTGGCTGTAATCTGAAGAATATACAGAGAAAATGTTTTCTCCATATTGAGAGTTGGCTCTATGTTGTAAACTGGCAGTTCTCGCGCAAGTATCAGCCCATTCTTGAGCATGTCTGCACATCTACATAATAGAAATATTATTTTAAAATTGGAAGTTTAAAAAATAACAATTTATTAAAAATTTAAATATTAATAAACAAAACTGGGAACCAAATATTATAAGATTAACAAAAATGAAGCTATATTATAAAATATGCAATAAAAACAATTTAACTAGTACGGAAATATCATAAAATAATTCAAGATTAAGGAGAATGTTGAAAGTATACAATGTTTAGAAGAATCTAACTACTTCAAGACGATATGGTCATACAGACTGACAATCAATGCATTACTGCTACTGGGAATAGAGGACGGTTCATTTATACCGTCGATGGTGACGTCAATGACGTGGTTTGGGTGGGGGTTGGCGTGGGGGTTAGCGTGGGGATTGGCGTGGGGGTTAGCATGGGGATTGATTCTGAGAGTAGGATTTTAATTGGCGGGTGGAGCGAACGATATTTTCTTTATGAGAGGTCTCCATGTCGAAGGTAACCGTATGCCGTCATCTCTTTTATTGAGACAATTTGGCCTTTTTTCAATTTCCATGGCTTCTCGGATAATTCTCGCTTTATAGAAGCGGATGGAGGCTATGGTTAAGGTAACCAGGCTGAAAGTTATTGAGATATTTAAGTTTTAACGTGCCACGGTAATTTTAGTTATATTTCAGTTTTAGTAGAGATCGACTTCTTCGTAAATGAACGTAAATATGCCTTCGCAAAGTTCCCAATATAAAACATTCTCTCTTATTTAAAAGCATATTAATTAGGTTACTGTTAAATCATATATGTGCAATATATAGTAACCCTGTCAATAACACGATATTTGCTGAAGCAATAACAACATTATGCTCCACAAAAAGCAAGAGGATGAAAGAGTAGCAGAATCAGACAGCATGCTTACCTCTTCATTTAATACCAAATCCTGCGTCCCGTGCCGTCTTCTATACTCGTTATGAACTTTAAGAGCTTCAAGTACGAAATCGGTAAAACTTCCTTGAGTAGACGAGCCAGAAGGAGAACCAAGAGATCTTAACGAGGTTCCCGGACTGGTTTCCTTTTTCGACGACGATAGGGCTTTACTTTCTGAAAACCAAGTAGGCTTTACGGGAGGAACATTCTCTACGTAGTGGCCTACAAAGTTTCCGGCCGGAGAGTAGTTGGCAACAACATAGATGCTACCTAAAATAAAGTATTTTTGTAAGTGTTATAGGTCTGTACACACATCATCGAGCAAAAAGACAAAAGAGGGAATGTAAAGGTAGTGGGGGCAAAAATATTGTTAGACAGGAAGTGCGATCTTTAAAGGCCACATTAAACAAGGAAAGAGAGTCTCTCTCCTTGGTTGACATCAAATTTAGTTGGGATATGTTATTCTTTGTCCCAAATGTCACATGAAATCTTATTTATATTGAAGTTTTTTAACAATTGTGTCGCATTTTAGACTATTATCGTTATAATTAATTAAAACTTTCTCGTCTAAGACACATTCTGAAAAATATTATATAGCTACTGTTAATAAGTGTCGGAAAATTTAAATTTGGCGCATTCGCATTTCCGGATATGTTCGCCATCAGAGGCCACTTTTTGGTCTCCTTTTCATAAGGATTAGATTCCCTCTTTTGTCTTTTTGCTCGATGCACACATACACATATACACAACATAAAAGTATAGTTTTTCTTATAGAATAAATGTCTTAATAATGTAAGAATTATAGATCAATTTTTAGAATCACTACTAAATTGTTTAAGCTCATCTTGGCTATTGTAAACATGTTTTGATGAAAAAATCAGGTCGACTTTAACTACACTATAACAATTATCAATTAACTGTGACTTATCTCTAAATTGAACTGAGAGCTTACGGCAACAATGTTAAATGTCAGAAGTAAATTCTTACTAGGGCAATCTTTATTGTGTATGCTTTGTTACTGTGGATGAGTGAAAAGTAGGACGGTTCCATAAAATTTACCCCCGTAATAATATAATATCCCTTGGAGTGGACATACTAGGTATAAGTGAGATGAGATGGTTTGGTTCTGGAAATGTATCCATCGATGACTACACAATATACTACTCGGGGAACGAACAGCAGAGACACTGAAATGGTGTAGGCCTTATAGTAACAGAGCAGATAAAAAAGCAGTAATTGATTTCATACCCTATTCTGATCGAATGCTTCTTTTGAAATTACAGAGTAAGCCCGTAAACACAAACATACTCCAAGTTTATGCACCAACTGCTGATTAGTCGGATGATGAAATAGAGCAGTTCTATGAGAATCTCCAAGAATTACTTAAAATGACAAAGAGTTATGAAACAACATTAATCGTAAGCCCTGGCCCCGATGACATACATACGGAAGTCATAAAGCTACTGGAAGAGAAACATTTAAATATAATCGTCAAATTATTTAATCAAATATATACAAGCGGTGAAATTCCACAAGACTGGTTAAAATCAGTCTTTATCCCCTTCCAAAAACTAAGAAAGCAAAGAAGTGTGGTGATTTCAGACTTATTAGTTAAATGTCGCATATGTTAAAGTTATTCTTGAAAGTTATTCACCAACGCATTTATAAGAAATGTGAACAGGATATCAGTGATGAACAATTTGGCTTCCGAAATGGATTTGGGACACGGGAAGCATTAACCAGTTTTATTATACTGCTGCAAAAATGTCGAGACCAAAAAAAGGATCTCTTTTTATGTTTTATTGACTATCAAAAGGCCTTCGACAAAGTAAAACATGATAAGCTGATGGATTGCCTTCACAAAAAGGGACTAGACGAGAACGATTTTAAAATTATCCAAACGCTGTATTTTAACCAAACTGCAGCAGTTAGAACAGAAGCCGGTGACACAGAAATATTCAATATCAAGCGAGGTGTACGACAGGGGTGTGTATTATTACCACTACTTTTCAATATATATTCGGAAGAAATCTTTGCACGAGCACTAGAGCAATCAAGAGAAGGTGTTAAAATTAACGGCAGAGTTCTAAATAATGTACGATACGCCGACGACACGGTCCTAATTGCAGAGAGCGCACAGGATCTCCAGACACTCTTAGATCGCGTCAGATCGATCGAAGAACAATACGGCCTCAGCATTAACGTCAAGAAAACAAAAACAATGATTGTCTCCAAAACATCCATCCATCCACCCATGGCTTTAAACGTGAACGGTAACATTATCGAAAATGTCGAGAAATTTCGATATCTTGGGTGCTGGATAACGAAAGATATAGATCCAGACATAGAAATAAAATCGCGAATTGAACAAGCAAGAAATGTCTTTTTAAAAATGAAACAAATGTTTACGTCCCAAACACTCAATCTCAAAATCCGATACCGAATGCTGAAATGTTACGTTTACAGCACCTTACTATATGGAATGGAGGCCTGGACCTTCAAAATCAACTCACTCAGGCGTTTGGAAAGTTTTGAAATGTGGTTATTTCGAAGGATGCTGAAAGTCCCCTGGACAGCGCATATGAGCAACGAGCAGGTCCTACACAAGATGGGTACCGACAGAGAACTGAATGCGTCTAAAAATAATGAAAACATAGAAAACCTCATATTTGGGACACATATACAGAAATGAGAAATACCAGCTACTGCAGCTTCTTATAGAGGGGAAGGTAGAAGGAAAACGTGGTCCTGGTAGACGGCAGGCGTCCTGGTTGAAGAACATTCGTGAGTGGACTGGTTTGGATTCTCAATCTTTAATAAGAAAAGACAGGGACAGAAATGATTTTGCTGAGGTTATCGCCAACCTTCATTGAAGATGGCACCCAAAGAAGAAGAATAATATACCTTCTGCATACTTCTGTAACGAACAAGTTTGTTGAATACTTTGAAACATAGGTAAACTTATCAACACTTCGCTGCTATAAATGTATATATGTAAAAAATAATCACCCAGTTTTACGTCGTTTAATTGATATTGTAATTTTTTAAGTTGTTAGGAAATATCATTTAGTGGACACGATGAAACCGAGCATTCGTCAAATCAAGGCAATTATAGAGAACTAATAAAAATATTTAAGACATACGATTTGGAATTTTCTAATTTACTTTCTAATTCGAAGACATTTAGCGGTGTGTCTAAAACAATCCAGAATGAATTAATAGAATCAATTAGTTACATTTTGAGTAACGTTATTGAATCTGAGATTCAGGCAAACATTTGCTTTTCTCTAAAAGTAGATGAAACTACCGACACATCATGTCATTCACAATTATCAATTGTTGTTCGATATGCGTTACGTGGTAATATTTATGAGAGGTTTTTAGGTTTTTTTTGCGCAGCCGTGATGTCCGGTGAATTGAATGGTCTCCAGGAAAAGTTAAAACTATTACACCACAAGCTTTATTTACTCACTGTCATGCGCATAGAATGAATTTAGTTTTGCAGGATACATGTAAAACAATTAAAGAATGTCGTCCTTTTTTTGCCAGTTTAAGCGGATTTGCTTCATTTTTCTCAAGCTCGCCTAAACGGACTAATGTTTTAGAACGATTTGTTTCAAAAAAAAAAAAAATGCCAACAGTTTGTCTGATGCGATGGAATTTTAATTCTGTGTTAGTTTTCACTGTAGCAGATTTTCGTAAACAGATTTGGAAGTTTTTGATTTTATTATTGAATGCGATGAATTTGAAAGTGATAATATCTCAATACGTGAAGCAATCGGTTTGCAAACTTTATTAAATGATTCCTCTTTTATAGTCCAGGCTGTGAGGCCGCTCCCGTTGGGAAAATGTTTCTGATTTGGTTTATTTGCGGATTCCGGTTCAAAAATGTCCCCTTTAAACAAATCTGAAGAGTGCCGGGCGAAATTTTTGGGCAGAAATTGTTTAAACAGTTTCTTTTTAAACAAATTCCAAAAACATTTTTTTTAATCTGGAAAACGTTTTTTTAGGTTTTTTGGGTCATTTTAAATAAAAAAGGTCTCTTGTCGTTTTTCTCTAAAGTTGATAGTTTTCGAGTTATAAGCGATTTAAAGTCTGAAAAACGCGAAAATACGCATTTTTGAGGCTTGAAAACACATATGGAAATTATTATTTTTGAGGTTACCAAGTGTCTAAATTGAAGTTTAAACATTCAACTTCAAGATTGTGAAGAGTAATCGGGGCTTATTTTAATTTAGACTGTTGTTTTTTAATTGTTAAATATGCGCGTACACTCGATTTTTCAGCCGCCGCGGCGCGGCGCGCTAGAGTGCGCTTCTATCGTACTTATGCATAGTTTACATATACACTTACGCAAAAAAAAACCCGAACAAATCCTTGAAGTTTATTAACATAGTTTTTTCCATAATTTATTTATGTAGGTATTAATTATTGTCATTGGGCTAATTAAATAAATCAATCATCGCAATGTAATAACCGTATATAGTTTTTTTTTCTTCCAAATTTGAACAATATAATTATTATTTATTGAGTATATATTTATTTATATCAATTGTAAATAATATTTTTAAATTATTATTTAAATAATACAATGCAGTAAATATTAATATTAGTAAACTTAATTTTAAATTGCGCGGTGTTTAAAAACAATATACTATCGCAAAAATGCAAGTTTTTACCTGTTTAACAATCGCGCGCTCATACTTGATTTGTTATTACTTAAACGATCATTAGGAAGACTATTGTTTAATGCCCATTAAAATGGTATTATATTATTAATGTGTTATTAAAAAAATTGTGAATGGATTTAAAATGTCTTTTTCCGTACCTCTTCTTAAATGAAAACTTACCGAAGAAAATTTAGTTTGTATTTTTTGTAATAACATCAACAATATTAAGTTAGTGCAAAAACCTAAAGTAGATTTTTACATAACAATACAAAATGCTGCTCTTCGACGAAAAGACAGTGTGACTGAAAAATTTAATTTAATCTAGCCAATATACCTTGTACCTCTGACGCACTTTACCAACACTTGTTAAGAGCTTTCGCTAAAACATATATTTGGCGAAATGCCATATATTCCCGCTATCAAACTCTCGATTTTACACAATATGGATATTATATGTCTGATAGTGGTGGGTTGGGAAACCGTGCAAATGCAAAAAGACTTGCAAAACTAATGCTTGCAACTGCAAGAAAAATCATGTCAACTGTGTACCATTATGTGGATGTGATTTAGATTTTTGTGTAAACAAAGATACTTTTACTGAGTGATATTAGTGTGTTATTTAACAATCTTTTGTACAATTATTTTATGTAACTATTATTAGACTTTAGACGAAATTTATATTATAACTCAATTGATATAAATAAATATATACTCAATAAATAATAATTATTTGTAAGTATATGTAAACTATGCATAAGTACGATAGAGGCGCACGGTAGCGCGCGGCGCCGCGGCGGCTGAAAAATCGAGTGTACGCGCTTACATAAAAAACGGTCTAAATTAAATAAGCCCCGATTACTCTTCACAATCTTGAAGTTGAATGTTTAAACTTTAATTTAGACACTTGGTAACCTCAAAAATAATAATTTACATATGTGTTTTCAAGCCTCAAAAATGCGTATTTTCGCGTTTTTCAGACTTTAAATCGCTTATAACTCGAAAACTATCAACTTTAGAGAAAAATGACAAGAGACTTTTTTTTGTTTAAAATGGCCCAAAAAACCTAAAAAAACGTTTTCCAGATTAAAAAAAATATTTTTGGACTTTGTTTAAAAAAATTGTTTAAACAATTTCTGCCCAAAAATTTCGCACGGCACCCTTCAGATTTGTTTAAAGGGGACATTTTTGAACCGGAATCCGCGAAGAAACCGAATCAGAAACATTTTCCCAACGGGAGCGGCCTCACAGCCTGGACTATTAACATACTTTTAAATATTTTTAAGAAAGTGTTTACCCAAACCGATTTGATATTCAATGTTGTTCAAAATCAGTTAACTGACATTATTCATTCCAAAAATAGAATAACAAAGAAATCTCACAGATTTTCGTAATGATAGTAATTTCCAGTATATACGCAGTGACGTTTTGGTCTCGCTGGATATTTCCGAACCCCCCAAAAAAGACAAAGGCACAGAAACAGATCTCGAAAAACGTATATATTTTGAAATTTTAGATACTATTATTATGCAAATAGATACTCGTTTTTCGAATTTTGAAGATTGGCAAATTTTTGACCTCTTTGAAATTTAAATTTTATTTAAAAGTTACGCCAAAGAATTTTCAAGATAGTTATTAGACAGGTTAATTAAAAATTATCCATCATTCTTTAATAAAATAAAATTAGAAAATGAATTAAAAGTTCTATATGCTGATCCAAATATTTTCGGAAGGTGGGATAAGTTACAAGATATGTATAATTCTATATACTGCAATTCATTACAACAAACTGTTACCGAAATTAATAAATTATTGTCAATAATTCTCTCATTAACACCAAAGTCTGCCTCAAATGAACGAGATTTCTCTTGTTTCAAAAGAATCAAAATGTATTGTAGAAACACCATGAAAAAAGAAAGAATGTTAAGCTTTTCTCAAATGTCAATAGAAAAAAAACTTTTAATAAAATCTCTCCAAAACTCTACTAAATTTTACGATGACGTTATAACCCATTTTGCTACTTCCAAACAACGTAGACTAGAGTTAATTTATAAACATGTTTAGGTTCTTAATTTATCCTATCATCCTATGATGATTGAAGTCTTTATTAATATCTGAGGAGACAAAAAATACCTTGCCGTTCTTGTCTCTCAAGCTATGATCCGCCACTGCTTCATCATCAAGCGTCCATATCTACATAGGCGTAGTGTTTTGTATTTGTGAATGTGACTTTGTTTTATATTTATTAAATAGAGTATTACATTTATTAACTTTAAAATAGTTTTTCAAGTAAGTAAACAACAGACAAATAGCATAGAAATATGATTCTCTCCAATATAATATTCTATTATTACAATGTGAAGTGACCATCAAGCAAACATATTTACTTACGCGCCGCTAATGATCGAACTAAAAAATTTCCTAAAATTCATGATAGGTACGTGATTTCGGCTACATTTCACCAATTACGGCGTGTGGTGAAAAAACAGTTTTCTTTTATTTTTTGTTTTTAATTTATATATGTTTTTGGTATTAGGTTAGATTATTTTAAATTTTTAATTATTCCAATTTAATAATGGGGACATCCCATGGATAAATATATATTTCTTACACAAGATTCATCAAGTCGACCACTTTTACAGTATAATATTAGACAGAAATTGTAAAAATTCACAATCATTTAAGAAAGGTATGCTTACCTTGTGAGTTTTTGGCGACACCAACTCCTAAAAATTCACTAGACTTCCAGATTACTTGGGAAAAATGTCCTGATTTCAAGTTACTAGGTTCTCTTCCAAACGGATGCTCTGAAACTTCTTCGTACCAAGTATCTACTGGGGTATGCCCATTGACAGTAAAGTTCAGATCGGAAGAATAAATGCAGTAAATGTTTTCTCCATAGTTACTGCCAGGTCTGTGTTCGAGTATGTTTCGTTGAGCTAGATAGGCTGCCCATTCTTGGCTATATTTACAAAGTTTTTTGTCTAGTTTAAGAAGTGGCACTCCGTGGCGTTTTCTATAGTTGTTGTGCGCTTCAAGAAAATCCTCTTCGAAGTTGCCTTCTGTGGGATTCTGATTTACCTTTTGTGTGAAAGACCTAGAAGAATATATCGTTAACAAAGGAAAATAACAACATTTAATTTTTTACAACCAAGGTAACTATTACCTTGCTAGTAAAAAGATTTAGGATTTTACCTTGTTGAACCAATTGACAATTTACCAACGCTTTCTGATAGATCTATGTGATTGTTATTACTTCTGAAACCTCCTACAGGTGGAACATTTTCTGCAAAGTGGCCTATTACGTTTCCAGCCGGTGCATAGTTAGCCACTACAATGATCTTTCCACCAGATTTGGCGAATGCCACCCCCAGTTCCCTAGATTCTTTCCACACCACCTGTAATTACGAATTTTATGATAAAATAATTAAAACAAATTAAGCTATAATGACCAAATATGAAAAAATGACATCCAAAAAGCCAATACCAGACGGAAAAGAGCAGTGGATAAGTTAATATAGAATTAAAATTGTACAGATTAAAGCTAATAAAAAATTTAGGAAAAAGCAATAGTTCTAGTCGGTTTCATCATTGTTTCTGACCGTTGTCAACCTTTGACAATTTCATGCCCCGATTATTGTAAATTATCGTAGACCATTCTTGCACCTCAGCATTAGCTTGTAACTACTTCTATTTCTCACAGACGGTAGTAATAGGATTGTTTCTCTAAGACAATAGTTTTGCTTCACTCATGAAACTTGTTCCGACCATCTTAGCATATTTGTCTTTATGAAGCATATTGTTTATTATAGACCTCTATGTTATATCGCTCTCTCCAAGTGCCTTTTAATATATTACAAGTATGCTTCTTAAGTTTCTTTATATATTTTGAAAATAGTCCATGGATAGGATCCAGATGCAAGCAATGGTAAACCAGCGTTAGTTTGGTTTTGTAACTAAAGGCGCGTTTTCACGGGTCGATCTGAGTTGAACGATTTGGATCGTTCGACCATCATTCGATCTGTGCCGAAAACGAAAAGGTTTACACGACAGTCGATGAATGTTGAATTAAATGTAATGGTCTATAAAACATAGATATGCTGGTTTATTGTACTCGATGGCCTTGTCTGTGATTTGTCTTAGTACAAATAAGGCCATACGTTTATTTTTATTATTGTAATATCGTTTTGACCGAACTTTTGTTTTGATACGTTTTGTTTATCTTCAAAGATAAATATATGGTTTCATTAAATTTAGTTAAGGTGCATGCCTGTGATCATTGAGCTATCAGCATCCTGTACACTCCTAATCTTGTTTTTTGAGATAAACTTTTGTAGCTAAATATTTGGACAGGCAATAATATTTCTACGAGTAGGATTATTCTTTTCTGATATTTTTCCTGATATGTCGTGATTGGTGTGATCCCAGATAGATTAACTCCCCCGTAGCATCAAAGTTTTTGTCATTAATATTTACTGCAGTTTACTGATTGGTATTTAAAAATCTTAAAAAATATATACAAAATAGCTGACCGTGTTGTTTCAAAATATAGAATATCTGTAGAAAAATATTGGCCTCTAGTTTGTAACCTACATAAGTGGGAGCCTCAAATCATATCACATTGGATATTCAAGGAAAGTATGTCACCGAAATTGAAATCGATTCTCAAATGTTTAAGCATGCACGTGACCGTATTCATGAATGATATAAGCAAAAAATAAATTTAAAAATGGGCTATAGAAAATTGTAAAAAAAGTGTCACGTTTTGTACACCACCTTTTAGTATGAATGTGAAAATAAAAGTTATAATATTGTTCTGAAACTATTTTCTTGTGGCATTGTAAATTAATTACTATTTAACTGGGAATAAACCACAATTAAAGATAAAAATACGTTTATTGACGTTTCAATTTCCAATTCGGAAATCGTTCTCAAAATACAAACAGTAAATTAAACAAATTTTGTTTTTTGTTACATAGTGAAAAATTCTTCTAATATTTTAAATTTTATCTGACTCATTTATATTGACAGTTCAGACATACATTATGAATTTTAAAGTAGACGACTTTAAAATGATATTGTCAATATTGTTGAGTTGCGCCCCTGGGACGACTTTACTTATAAGATAGTTCATTCGATTATATGAAATCAACATTCTCTAATTTTGTCTTGACTATACTTAAAGTCTTATTTAATGGCACATTCGTAAATAAACTATTTATGTCAAAACTTACCAAAGTATTATTTGAATTAAATTCAATATTTGATAATTTATTTAAAAAATGTTGTGTATTTTTTATGAATGTGTCATTCTTATTTGTAAATGGTTTTAAAATATTTAATAAAAATTTTGATAGTTCACTACAAGGAGAATTCATGGTACTACAAAAGGGTCTAAGTGGTATATTCGTTTTATGAATTTTCGGTACTCCATAAAAATAAGGAGTCTTACTGTAATGAGGTGTAATTAATCCTCTCTGATATCTTGTTAAAACATCTTTCATCATCATCATCATATAACGGGGGTCCTACGGCGATTGCCGCTTCCCGCATTTCAGCCTCCATCTTTTCCTATCTCTCCAATCTCCCTCTTCTAAGTCTCTAGATTGCATTGCTTTTGTAATTTCTCTTCTCCAGGAATTTGGTGGTCTTCCCCTTTTCCTTCTTTCTGGCGGAACATACATTAAGGCTTTCTTTGGCCACCGCTCCTTCTCCATTCTCATCACGTGACCATACCATTGTAATTGCCTTCCTTGTATTCTATCTGAAAGAGTATCTCTAATTCCTGTACGGTTTCGTATTTCCTCATTCCTGGTTCTTTCCATTCTCGATACTCGACATGACCTTCTAAGATAATCCATTTCCACAACGTCTACTTTATCTCGTTCATTCTTTGTCATCGTCCAACATTCGGCACCATATGTGGTAATTGGTTCTACAATTGCTCTGTATACGCGAAGTTTGGTATGCATCTTTATTTTATTAGACCACAGTAATGAATTCAGTATTCGGATGCATTTTTTCCCTTGGGTTATTCGGTTTTGTACATCTATCTTAACTCTGCCATCTGCTGATATGATGCTTCCTAGATATTTATACTGGTTGCAGCCTTTTATGACTGCGTTTTCAAGCCTCAGATCTGTGGTATTTCCTCCAATTTTTAAATATTCTGTTTTGCTTATGTTTACAGTAAGCCCCCATTTGGCATATTCCTCAAATAATTTTCGATTCATATAATTTATATCTTCCTCATCGGTTGCAACCACCACCTGATCATCTGCAAACAGCAATGTATACAGAGTTTCTTGTCCCACTTCGATGCCCATAAATCTACATTTATTTCTCCAATTCCTCAATGCTTCTTGGACGTATATTTTAAAGAGTGTCGGTGACAAACAGCATCCTTGCTTTAGGCCTTTAGTGACTTTAAATTCATTTGAGGTTCTGGTTCCAATTTTTACACAACTAACTGCATTTTCGTACAATTTATATATCGCTCGGATATACGTCGAATCCAATCCGGACCTTTTGAGGACCTCAAACATTTTCTTTAACGGGACACTATCATATGCTTTCTCAAGGTCTATAAATACCAAATGGGTCTCTCTACTTCTTTCGACACGCTTTTCAATTATTTGTCGTAGGATAAATATATTATCAAGGCAGGATCTCCCGGTACGAAAGCCGCTTTGTTCTTCAATATCTTGTATCTGTCTTTCAACCCTCTTCTTTAATATTCTGCCGTACAACCGGCCCACAGAGCTCGTCACACTAATACCTCTATAATTGGAACAGTCTCTTTTATTCCCTCTCTTATATATGGAGCTTATATAAGATTTATTCCAATCTTTAGGAATTTCCTGGTCTCCACACATACATTTATTGAAAAGGTCTACTATTAATTCTAAAAGTGCAGTCGGCCCATATTTAACCAGCTCTATGGGAATGTCTCCAGGCCCTGCGGCTTTTCCGTTTTTAACCTCTTTTAAGGTTTCCGTCAATTCAGATAATGTTATTATAGGGATTTCCTGTCTTTCGTCTCTGTTGTCTATTAATTCCCTTATCTTTTCCCATCTGTACTCTACTCTATCCTCTTTCAGCAGTTTCGTATAATATTCTTCCCATTCATTTAACTTTATGAGAGAAATGTTGTCTTCATTTTTCTCATTTTTCCTAAACTGTTTTAATGTTTTCCAAGCTTGCGCCACTTTTGTTCCACCCATAAATCTGTCCAGTTCATCACACTTAGCCTCCCAGTTTATATTTTTCGCCTTATCCACGTCTTTTTTAACTTCTCTATTCCATTTAGCGTATATTTCTCTGTCTTGAGGATCTTTGGATTGAAGCCATATGTGATATGCTTGTTTTTTCTTGAGAACTTTCTCTTCTAGTTCCGTTGACAACCATTCAGGTTTTCCTTTTTTCCGATTTTCAACTTTTCCCAGTGCTTCATTTGCCGCTTCATGAATATATTTTTTAATTACCTCATAGAGACTTTCGGGGTCTAAGTCCTTTGTTTCTATATTTTTTATTTTCTGAGCTATTCTAATTTTATATAAGAACTTTGTCGAATCTTGTTTAAAGCTTTCCAGGTTATATTTTATGTTTTCTATGGTTGTTCCTATGTCTGTTACTTCCTCATTTTTGTGACTTGATTGTTCTCTCTTAAATGTCACCATTACTTTTGCAATAATCATATGGTGGTCACTTCCACATTCTGGCCCTCTAAACACCTTCACGTCCTTCGTTTTTAGTTTAGAATCTTTACGATGAATAAAATAGTCAATTATTGATTTTAAATTCCTGGTAGGCTGCGTCCATGTAAATTTATGTATATTCTTATGGGGGAAGAAACCATTTAATATTTTCAAAGAATGTGCCTCGCAAAAATCTATTAATCTTTGACCATTGTCGTTCAGAATGTCTTCTCCATATCTCCCTATTATTTCACTGTTGGAGCTCTTTCCGGTTCTTGCATTAAGATCACCTAAGATCCAAATTTCTTTCTTCTTATTAATTGTGGCTAGAACAGTTGTTAACTTGTTAAAGTACTCTTCCTTGCTGTCAACCCTTGAGTCATCCGTCGGTGCATATGTTCCAATTACCACTATTTCATGGCCATTTTTCTTAATTTCCATGAGGATAATTCTTTCATCTATTTCTTGCCATGATTTAATACATTTTTTCAGTTTCTGATGTATTGCTATAGACACTCCTCTTTTAGCTCGTTCGCTCTTTTCTACGCCACTATAGAAATGCAGGTATTCATTTATCTTTTCATTTCCTCTTCCTTTTTTCTTTACTTCAGTTAATACACAGATGTCTAGTTTCATTTTACTCAGTTCACGGAAGACCTCCTCCTGTTTTGTCCTTATTCCTTGTATGTTCCAAGCACCCAAATTCATAATCCATTTTCTTTGCGAATTTCGTTTATAGTTTAATCCGTCCGAATTCCAAGGCTTTTTGCTGAAATTTTTAACTTTGATCATTTTTTCCGAGTATCGAGGAGTTGGCCCGATGCCTCAACCCCCAACTTGGAGGACCAGGGTTTTAAATCAGAGTATCCTTCTCTTAGATAAGTTGCCTTCTCTACGGCTTAGGAGTCCTATCTACCCCACCTGTTGGTCCGCGGGTGGTATTTTATTTCCCACCTACCCGCCGGCCTAGCTGCAAACAGGCCGGTGAGGGCATTCCCCTATCCGCCACCTGGGGACGCGCTCTCTAGGGTTACAGGTTCCCCCTAATACATCTTTAAACTTGAATAAAGTTCTATATATTTTGTTTTCCAAAGGCTTTGTTGGATCTTTTGTTAATTTTGTATAAGGACCTTATATATAATATAGTAATTAAAAGTTATAATAGAAATTAATAGCAGTATACAGCAAATAGTTCTGATAGTTTGAGAGGCTCCAAAATCTGCGGAAGTGGTTCGGGCTCACATGGGTCGAACTAGTCGGAACCGCCGCAAACAAGATTAGAATTGCCAAGTTAACAGCCAACGTTCGCAACGGACAGGGCACTTGAAGAAGAAGAAGATTAGTTTGAGTTCAAATTTTTTACAAAATTGATTTAGTCGAAATTAAAAAAAAACTCCGGCTGCAGTTTTGTTGGATGGATCGAGTAGCTCGACAGAACTGTTGCCGGTCCCAAGCCCGGATAAAGGAGGAGGGGACCTACAGCCAGGTTAACATCCTACTGATAGACTTTAAAAAAATACAGCTCATAGAAACAGGATTATGTTTTGGAACAGGAATGATTTGGAACAAAAAATACAAAAGTGAGTCTTTACAAAACTCTTACACTCAATCCTAACATAAGGCTCAGGACTTTAACAAAAAACAATGAAAACAGATCATAATATTTTAAGAGAAACGTACTAAAAAGAATTAAGGTTAATGAAACTGGTATCTGGGAAAGCCGACAACTTCTATGAACTGTGCAGAATATATCTGGTGCCACACAATGTCAACTATATTAAAATAGGATGTCTGGGTAGAGGAATAAAAATATTGCACTTTCGCGTATTAACAACTCAAATTAATTCGTTACTGACCTGTGTGAAGTGTCCTGATGCTAAACTATTCGGTTCAACCCCAAATGTATGACACTTGATCTCTTCATACCAATTTTCCACAGCTTTACTTCCATTAACGGTAAAATTAGGATTAGATGATTGGATACAAAATAAGTTTTCTCCGTAGTCTCTGTTATTGCTATGTTTTAAGACACTCTTTTTTATCAAATTATTAGCCCAGTCTTGGCTAACTCTATACATTTCCTTATTGAGCTTTAATGGAGGGACGCCGTGCTTAAGTCTATATGCATTGTGAGCTTGAAGGCACTCTTGCTGGAAGTCCATTTTGGAATTCTTTTTCTAGAAATGAAAAAATGACAAAAGTTAGTTATAAGCTAGAAAAATGATTTAGAACATAACTAAACAATATTTGTGTATAATGAATAAAGTGAATTAGATATAAACGAAATAAAAAGCTTTTTTAATTGGTAATAGTTTTCATATTAGGCAAGTTACAAAAATTCTGTTTTAATATCTTTTTGTTATTCAAAATTTGTGAAACAGTGTTATAGGAAGAAAGGATAGTACAAAAGACTCTTCTAGTAAGGTCGTAAAAACAAAATAACTCAATATCAAGATCGATTAATACTTCTTTTGTCTTTTCGTTATAGTAAATGACAGAAAGTGATTAAAATGCCTTTAGGGTAAGTCACTGGCTATATATTTCTGAACAAATAATTAAAAATCCAAGAGACTCCTTGTGAAAATCCTGTTTTTGAAAAGGAATCATAAAACATGCCGTATACCTTTTTCTCGTGAGCATATTAACTAGTAACTTCCATGGTAAACACGAGTACGCTTTACTGACCACTCAAGAATAGTAATAAAGTTTAAACTCTTAATGTTACCTCATAATATGATAAAAGAGGATATTGTACCTATATGTTACGATATGTTTCGTATTTCATACTAATTTAAGAGATTCCGAAGCTACACACTGCTCCACTCCCATAAATGTTATAGAAGAGCCGGGTCCAGCCATCTTGAGAACTGACCAGGCGCTCTAGATAAACTACCACTAGTTTCTACTTAATCCTATCGAACATATTTGCGAACTGTTGCACAGGCATTTAGGAGACACCCTGAAACATTTAAACAGCCCGAATATACATTAATGGAAGAAGTATGCCAAGAATTAGGTTATTTGCTGAAGACTCAGAAGATACTATGTGACTCTAACACAAATCACTTTACCTATTCTTAGATTCTAAACCACTGTTGAAATTTTAATTTTAGTTAAATTTTCCAACTCCTCAATACTTTTGGCTTTCTTTTTGTAACGATAAAATTATTATTTTTGTGATAGGTATCTTTTTAAAGTTAACCATAAAACTGCACAGTAATTCTGCTTATGCCCAACAGAGGTAAGTTACTTTTTAAGCTCAATGATGTAAGCTCAACTTCAGGTCAATCACTGATTAACCTAATCGGATGCGTTATTATTATCGCATATTACATAAATCTGCTTTAGAAGATCGTTCTCTAAGACAAGCAGCTTGCTGGAATAAGCAGCTGTCTGATTTCAAAAGAGAAACTCAATAGGGCGAAGAACTGAGAAGTAAATGGAAAATATAAATGGTTAAACTGAAAACCTAAAATAAGGCAATCCTATCTTCTAAGGAAAGGTTCTGGAAAGAATTCGGTGAAATGAGAAAGGCAGCAAATATTTGATTTCACGCAAACAAATCCTATGTATCTCTTGATACGTATTTCGACCTAATAGGTCTCATCAGAAGAGCTATTCATAGGGCTTCTCAACGTGAAAAATCAATATTTTCTGCCTTTTAAGAAGCAACAATAACATGGCTTCAATACGGACGCAGTAGCGACATCTAATTACAACAATCGTAAAATAGTTTCGAAACACAATTCAGATTTCTGCTTTATAATCTGAGCCTTCTAAAAATTGCAAGGCAAACAGACGTTGATAAAAGATGTTAAAAGAGACATGGGAAATCTAAAATTTGCATTCCACGACATGTCTTTTACAACTAAGCATTTCTACAACTAAGCAATTCGGTGAAAATTTTGAAACTATACCTGAGAGTGCCAGGGTTAACAGAATTCTTACAAGAGATGACACTAATAAGTCCAAGTCAGTTAAATTATCCAAAAGGAACTATACGAACCCTGATAAGAAGGCTTACAGAATTACTTTCAAGTGTTCACTTCCCAGGTCAGTTGACTAGTAGAAATAATCAACAAGTGGGACCAGATGGCATATATCCCAGGCTACTCCAAGAGAGACTGAAAATTATTATGGCCCTGATCCAAATCTTTAGAGCTAGCTATACACTGGGGCAAACTCATAAAGCTTCGAGAAAAGCGAGGGTGGCGTTTATTCCTAAACCAGGAAAAATAGATTACATTATTCATGTTGAAAATAAAAAAAATTTAAATGATTACATCAAGCAGAAACTGCACCAGTGACAATGGGTGCATCAAGCAGGGAAATCAGGTCAAGCCGCCCTGCACAAACTGGTGTCGGAACTCTGAAAAGACTTTACACCAGAAAGAATTCGCCGTTGCTGCATTTTTAGACATCGCAGATCCTTTTGATAATACCTATATTGAGTCAATGCATAGTATGATTGCACTGATAAGAAAGAAAATTAACAACACAATATGCAGGAGGATTATTTAGATGCTTCAGAGCAGAATAATATCTACAGGTACGTATGAAGGGGCTACAAACATGAAAGCAACAAACGTGTGTCCTCAAGGGGGTGTGTTGTCACCAACATTATGGAATTGAGGGAAGTGGGACCAGATGGCATATATCCCAGGCTACTCCAAGAGAAACTGAAAATTATTATGGCCCTGATCCAAATATTTAGAGCTAGCTATACACTGGGGCAAACTCCCAAAGCTTCGAAAAAAGCGAGGGTGGCGTTTATTCCTAAACCAGGAAAAACAGATTACACTATTCATGTTGAAAACCAAAAAAATTTAAATGAATACATCAAGCAAGACAATCTATATCGAGTCAATACATAGTGCACTGATAAGAATGGAAATAACAACACAATATGCAAGTGGATTATTTAGATGCTTCAGAATAATATCTACAGATACGTATAAAGGTGCTACAAACATGAAAGCAACTAACGTGTGTCCTCAAGGGAGGTGTTGCCACCATTATGGAATTGGGTAATTGATGACGTGATTCATGGACTTAGCAGCTAAGGAATCGGGGTCCAGGGTTTCGCAGACGATATTGTAATGGTGACCAGGTGAAATTTTCCAGTACTGTTGCGAATCAAATGCGATATGCCCTTCATTATATACATAAATCATGTCTGAAAGAGAACCTCTCTGTGAACCCTTCGAAAACTAAACTAATCGCCTTTACTAATAAGAGAGCTTACTGGACTGAGTGAGCTAAAACTATTTCGGGAGGAACTAGGAAGAACCAATGAGATCAAGTATCTAGCGGTAACCTTGGATTCGAAACTCAATTGGAGCAATTATATTAACAACATAACCGACAGAGCTACGCAACTCTTATCGACCTTCAGAAGAATTGTTCGTAAAACCTGGGGTTGAAACTAAAGGTAATCTGTTGGTTATACACCTTAGTGATACGACCAACAGGTACATATGGTTTAATAGTTTAATGGAAAAAAGACGACTTCTCAGTCTTGTGCGACTTCTCTCATCACGCTAAAAAGGCAAGCGATTCTAAATTTGATAGGAGCCTTGAATAGTACAAAAATGGCTCCTTTAGAGGCTATCACAGGTCTCCGTCCGCTGTAATTATATATTTCGGCGGTAGCTTTTATGATCATCTTGGGATTGAAAGCCGAGGCTTTATATCGGTTCTTAGAGCTTGTTTTCTTTTACAATGGGTAGGATGCTAACCTGGCCCATCAAGATAAGTCACCAAATGGACGAAGAAGTATTGGCAGACCAAGACAAAGACGGTGCGACAATTTAAACAATGTAGGAGGCTAATATTGAAGAAGAGACAGGCTTTAAAGCCTACTTACAAGAAGAAGAAGAAATTTAAAGCAAAACATACTTGGAGGCCGAATTATTATGTATTGAATAGTAAAATAAATACTACTGAGACTATACTCGAACAAACTATCTTCCACAAAAACTAACATATGATAACCCCAGAACTAATCTTCACTGAGAAGATTAATATAATTATTCCATATAAAAGAAAAGAAAGTCCCAAATATTAACTTATATGGTTCACATATAATGGATCTAAAACTACCCATGGTACTTGATCAGGAGTCTTTGGACCGCCTATGTTGATATTCGACTGTGTTTCAGGCTGATGTTTTTTGTTTGGTGGTCTGCATTGATATCTACCTTGAAAAATAATAATTTTATCATTACAAAAAAGTATAGGTATTCTTTATGTAGACAGAATGGAAGAATACAGAAATAGATATTAGAAGTTCTGTGTCGAATGCCTCTGGTGATAGGGAAAAAGTTTTTTTTACTCTAATAGGAGATATCGTCTTGAGTTATAGGGTCATATTTTGACATTAAAATTGTGCAGGTAAATGTAAACAAATTATGGACCGCTTATATAGACAGACACACACTCACACTCTCACTCACTATATATATATATATATATATATATATATATATATATATATATATATATATATATATATATATATATATATATATATATATATATATATACTACGAATATACTAATATTTTTGAAAAATATAATAAGTACTATTACCTTAAATTTTTACTGATATCAAAATCGTCATTGATATTCCTTTTAATACTTGAACTGTAGTAAGTTCTAGAAAGTGCCAGTTACCGATAAGTACAGAATTATAAATGCAGCTATTGTTATATTTATGCTATCACTTAACTGTCTCCGGAAATACCTTAGAAAAATTATATTTATTGCTAGCGATAATAAACAAATATACACTAAGAAATGTACATTTCTACCGGTTTCTCTTTTATTTTGATAGTTACAGATATATATCTAACTTTTTTCTTCTTTTGAAAGATAGATTTTAAATAAGATAATATTAACAAATGCACGTATGCACGATAATATATATATATATATATATATATATATATATATATATATATGTTGAACAATTATTCCGGGAAAATATCCGTTGGTCATTTTTTAATTGCAGACGTTTCGCCAAGGTCTCACTTGGCATCTTCTGTGCGTTGTCTTCGGTCTCGTAGTCGGTAACTGAATGAGCTGCGCTCAGTCCTCACTTCTTTTATATCGTGCGCTGTTCGAGCGCACGAGCGCATATAAAAGAAGTGAGGACTGAGCGCAGCTCATTCAGTTA